AGATGACCCCACTCCAAAAATGAAAACTGGTTCGCTTTGTATTCTCCTAGCATACTACACCTCTGCATAACTCAGATAAAGGGAGAGAGGATGATACATGGTGGTGGCATCTACATGAGATGGTTACTGTGCAGTAGCATGTTACTACTGCACAGTAGTTTTGAGAGGCACGGGTTGTGATGTGACGCTACTGCACAGTAGTGCAAGCTGTTGCACACTCAGTGTCACCAGGAAGCCGTGCGGGGATGCTACTGTGCAGTAATACCAGTTACTGCACAGTCATTTAGTACTTAGGTATGCAAGTACTAAATGATTGCGCAGTAACAACTGCTCAGTCAACGTCTCGTGTAAACATGGCTGGTGTGTATCTAAAAGAGGACATAGGACACATTGAGCCAAATTACCTCCAGACTGACTTAGACTCCAAGAGTCCTTCCCGGCTCATGAATTCAAAGGGATGAAATGAGTGTCTTGTTCATTGGTGTACTAAGTAGGCACTTGACAGCCAATCCCCTGCATTTGGCACATACACTTTGGACTGCTGCTAAGCACTGTCAGAAATATACACTGGAAAAAATTGAAGCAGGTTGTTCAGGGAACTTTAGGACAAAACTCTACCCAGAAGGATAATGGGGGACCTGGAGGTCCTAGGAGCAACGTCTGTGGAGGGCCCATTGGAGTCCAGGAGCTCTATGGGATTTTGCTCTCTCTTGGGCCACAAGTCTGCTCCTGTTGCAAAAAAGATCCAACAGCTGACTGGATTGTATTTGCCAATCGTAGGAAGTGATTATTGCCGATTAATCACTGGTGATTTTGAGCCCCGCATTTTCAAAAGGATGTGAAGCATTTGGAGAGTCCAGCACAAAGCAACCAAAATGATTAGAGGCCTTGGAGGCAAGGCTTATGAGGAAAGGGTGAAAGAATTAGGGTTATTTCATCTAGAAGAGAAGACTGATGGGGAGGGGTTGGTAACATATTCCTGAAGGGCGCTTAAAGGGAGGATGAAGATCATATAAAATAAGGCTGGAAGGGAGCTCAGGAGGCCACATCTAGTCCGAACCCCTGCTCCAAGCAGGACCAGCCCCAACTGCATCATCCCAGACATGGCTTTGAGCTTTAAACACTTCCAAGGACGGCGATTCCAAGAACCCGAGAGCTTCCGGCATTTCAACAGGAAAGAGATAACGAAGAAATATTCTTGACAAACGTGTCATGGGGTACTTAATAACCATAACTGATCAGAGGACATGATTTAAGTGCCAGAAATAGGCCTGGCATTGTGAAAGACATGAACTGCAGGAAGTCCACGCTGTAAAGAACATGCAGAATAAACTGGCAGAGTACACGCTCTGTCATGTACTCCCCCATGCTCTGTACATGCTCTGTCCCCCATCGGAGAGTTGATCTGCTGAGGGGGTGAGTGCCAACACTGCTCCTCCCTCTCCTGCCCTGGTCACCACTGAAGTCAGGTTGGTTGCTGTTGGCGGCAGCAGAAAAATGGAACCAAATGTCAGGAGTATTATTCGCCGCTGGGTTGCAGAGCCATGTTAATGCAGCAACTCTGGCACCGACAAGCCACTATCTTGCCCCCAGAGGTTGGCCACCTGGCCCACCAGAAGCCCCACGGTCCAGCACAGACAATTTTGGGCTAGGCAAAAATTTGTCTAGGAGGGTTTAGACAGGGACGATCTAAACAGGGGATTGGACTAAACAGGACCTGCTGGATTTCCTTCCAGCCTTGTCTTTCCTGTGCTTCTTTGATTCCTCTGACACCAGCAGCCATGATAGGAACATTTCCAAAGAGCTTCCACGAGCCCCCAAGCAGGGCTGATATCTACCATCGCCAGAAGAAGAAAGAAAAAGATCAGTTTTTAAATAGGGATTTCCAACCACCCCAATAAAAAAGGCAAGAACATTACTTACGCTCTACAGAGATAGGACTTTTTTTTATTTTTTCTTGCCTGTGGCTGAGGGGAGAGCAAGGGGGGAAAGGAGTTCAGTCCTGCACGATTAATTATTGTTTAAATAGAAAAAGATCCCTGGAGCTTTAGTCATTCCCATAGCTGATGACTGGGCTTTGCTGAACATTAACTGCTTCTTGGCTTCGGGGCTGTTAACTAATAACAAGCCCATTCATTTATTTCTGATAAAGTTGCCTGGATTTTCTTCTTACTCTGGTGACTGGGAGCAGGATCCATAAAACTCAGCATTTTGCAGGCAATCCTGGGATTTGGAGCAAGAGCCGGTTTTCATAGCACTTCCCCGGCTTGGCCGATGTAGCCGGCTCTGCAGGTGTCACCGCATTTCGGAGGCTGGCAGATCACTCGTTGCAGCGGGGAGGTGGATCCCTCTTGATCCAAGGCTCAAGCCCCGCTGCCGCTACCTCCTGGGAAGCATTGGGTCTGTGATTCATGCAGAGCTGAGTAATTCGGATTTGAACCAAGAGAGGGCAGTGGGACCCACATGCAGCCACTTCATTGCACTGTACAGCTCAAATTGTATATGCCGACTGAACACACGATGACAATCTATGGCTGTTCCCAGCAATGTTTCTCATAGGGACCATTTCCCTGCCATGTATTCATGCAACACCCTTGACAAAAGTTGCTTAGGAGCAATTTAATACAAGGCTACTAGCAGGCGTTGACTATGCTCTGCTTGGTTTCAGAGCTTGGGCAAAAGGGCTGCAGCTGAAAGACGTGTGTTTTTTCAGCTCCTCCCTGCAATCTTGGAACAAACCACTTCCCCCTGTCTTCTCCTTCCCTTTCTTGGACTGGATTTGGTACAATGGGGTCCTGATCTCAGCTAGATCCCTTTGCCTATTCCTATAACACCAATGGTGACAGGCTGATGATGACCAAGAGTATGTTATGAATATGGTTATCCCCCATGAGCTTTGAAGAAGACTAGTAGATGCCCCTCGAGTCTGAAGGCCTCCCCTGTTGCATCCTGCCATGTATTTGAGGTGCACAACTTCTATGTTATGCCTCTGTTTTTCCATTGGGACCCAGCATTTGGGGTTTTATCCCTGAAGGCCAACTCAGAGTCAAAGACCCTGCTGAGACGAGTGTCCTGCTGAGCGAGCATGGTGAAGGCACAGCAGTTTGTGTATCTACAGACACCCAAGGCGGGGATAGGGCTGCCATCACATTCAGGTGCTTGGTTGCTTTATGAATGCCTCTAGGTAAGTGGTAAAAGAGCAGATATGACATAGTATTGCATGTTGAAGAGCTAAGCTCTCTGTGGGGAAGTTTTGTTGGGGGGGATTTTTGAAGAGATGTCTTGCTTATACTTGATGGTGGCCACTTTAATGGCATCCATAAGAGTGTGTTCATTCTTGGAAAAGCCAGTCCAACCAGAGCAAGAGCAGTCATGACGTCAAATGGGAAAGCCAAACGTAAAGGATGAAGATCCAGGATAGGGCTCCAAAGACCTGTGTTCTGTTTCTGGCTTGGCCGTAGATCATCTGTGTGATTTAGGGTGAATCCACTGGATTAGCCCACGCCTCGGTGCCCCTTTTGGCAAAGTGGTCATGTTGCTACTCACCTTCTTTGCAAAGTGCTTTGAAGATAATCTCCCGATGAGGAGCATTGCTAGGGAATATTGTTGCATGATTATAAAAATGAAGGGTGAGAGTTGCTTTCTCGACACAGGTTGAAAAGTTTTCACGTAGGAAGCTTTTTTGGACACTTTTAAGCTACATCCAGGCAGTGCACCCAGCTCTTTGTCAGCTCCAACGTTTGCATAGTGCAGGCCCCGGGTCCTACAGTGGGGTTTGCATCAGTATTGGCTACGTCTACACTGGCGGCGGCGGCAGTCCCTCGGAGTTGAGGATGATGTCCGTCAGGCTTGATGGTCCTCAGGTGACTGGGGAGCCCGATTCTGGATGCACACATCCTTCGGCAATGGGGGCATGTTGTTGCATGAGAAAATGGGATTCGCAGCCCTGGGTTGGTCTCATTCTCCTTCCTCCGCCATCTACACCTTACACTTACGATGACTCACAGCAACACTCGCAAGCTGGGAGCAGGGTTACTACATCCCCGTGGTACCAGGGCAGGCTAATTAGCACAGGGAATGGCTAATTGGTCCTGTCACTTAGTAGTGCTAATTTACCCAGAGTGCATTGCAGACATGGCTACCTTTCTTTTGGTTTGATAAGCCCCTGCCTGGAGCAGTGTAAGGGTAAAATGATCATTTTAGCCTGGAGACATTGGCTATTGGCACTAGAACTGCAAGTCCTTATTCCCGTCCTTCTAGAGGGCAATTTATATTACAACATGCCTAGATGATGGGTCCTTTGCAATGTAGGCTGTGTTAATACAGCAGGACTTAGTTACAACTGCATTAAACCAAGAGTTGGATCTGGACATTCACTGGGAACATAATTTTGCCTTCATTCAGAGAGGTCCGCACCCCGATTTTGTAGTAGGTCAACTGCATTTGCCAAGGGATGTGATTTTACCACTGATATAGTCTTGCCGCTCCATAATACAGTGATCTCTTCTATTAATGAGCTCCATAGGCAAAACCAAACCCAAGGAAACATATATCCTTGTATTACTTCCCAGTGTTTGGCCTTGAGCGTGTTATCGTAACCCTTGTCTTCCTCACCCTTTGCTAAGTGTTTCCATCAACACAGGGATCGGAGGAGGAGGGGTAAGGGTTACGGCAATAAAGCCCACGTGGTTACTCAGAGGTGGAGCATGCCCATCTTGATAGCTCTGTCCAAGGTTTCTTTCTCAAATATTAAATTAATTCACTTCCACGTAAAATCATTTCTGGAGCTTTAGATTGGACCTGAAGGTCTAGAGGCACAGTCAGCAACGTCTGGGCAATGGCCTGCTGAAATCATCCAGCTCAAGTCTGAGCTAGGATGTGGCCACTGCTGCCGCCGCTCCCTCCTCTTCTCCCTGCCACCTGGCTGCAGCACTAGCAAAATTCCTCACTACCAGGCCGCAGCAAAGCCTCTTTCCAAAAATATGCACTGGAAAAAATCAAAGCAGGTTGTTCAAGGAGCTTTGGCACAAAACTCTATCCAAAATGCTGAAGGGAGCCTGGATGGCCTAGAAGCAATGGCTGTGGAGGGCCCATCAGAGCCCAGGAGCACTATGGGATTTTGCTGTCTCATGAGTCAACAGTGTTCTCTTCTTGCAAAAAAAGCCAAAAGCAAACTGGCTTGTATTTGCAAAAGTGTCATTTGCAAATCATAGGAAATGATTCTTCGGCTCTGTTCAGCACAGGTGACGTTGCACCCCGCACTTCCAAAAGGATGTGGAGCTTTTGGAGAGTCCAGCACAAAGCAACAAAGATGATTAGTGGCCTTGGAGGAAAGAGTTATGAGGAAAGGCTGTAAGAATTAGGGTTATTTCATCTGGAGAAGAGAAGACTCCTCCCGAGGTGGTGCAAGCACCTACTCTGGTCTCAGTCAAAAAGTGTCTGGATGTTTATCTTGCTGGGATCATTTTACCCTAGCAGACCTCCTTCCTATGGCAGGGGGGCTGGACTCGATCTCACGAGGTCCCTTCCAGCCCCTAATGTCCATGAAATCTATTAAATCTCTGAAGACTGAGGGGGAGGGGTTCATAACAAATTCCTTAAAGCAGATTAAAGAGAGCATGAAGATCATAGAAAATTAGGGTCAGAAGTGTCTTCAGGAGGTCACATCTAGTCCAACCCCCTGCTCCAAGCAGGACCATCCCCAACTACATCATCCCAGCCAAGGCTTTGTTGAGCTGGGTCTTAAACACCTCCAAGGATGGAGATACCACAACCTCTCTGGATAACCTGTTCCAGTGCTTTACTAACCTCCTAGTGAGAAAGTTTTTCCTAATATCCAACCCCAACTTCCCTTGCTGCAGCTTGAGCCCATTGTTCCTTGTCCTGTCCTCTGCCCCCACTGAGAACAGCCCAACTCCATCCTCTTTGCAGCCCCCCTGCAGGGAGGTGAAGGCTGCTATTCAATCCCCCTCAGTCTTCTCTTCTGCAGACTAAATAAACCCAATTCCCTCAGCCTCTCCTCACCAGTCATGTTCCCCAGCCCCCAAACCATTTTTGTTGCCCTCCACTGGGCCCTCAACCTTTCTGTCGTGCAGGGCCCACAACTGGGCACAGGACTCCAGATGTGGCCTCCCCAGTGCTGAATAGAGGGGAAGAATCACTGCCCTCCATCTGCTGGCAACGCTCCTCCCAGTGCAGCCCACTCAACACTCGTTTTGCTGTGACTGTAGGAGACAGGACTAGGAGCAGTGGCATCAAGCTGCATGAGGAGAAATTTAGGTTGGAAATTAGAAGGAACTTTTTGCCTGGCGGTGGTCCTGCATTGGAACTGGCTGCCTAGAGAAACTCCATCCTTGAAAGTTTTCAGAAGCAGGTTAGGCGACACTTGGCTGGGATGGTTTAATCAGGGATGATCCTCCTTGAGTAAGGGGCTGGAGTAGTTGACCTTGTTTGGTCCTTTAAATACTTTCCTATGATCACCCAGTGAAGTGACCTGCCACAAAGTTGGAACATGGCAGGTTTCCCAGAAGCCCCTTCCCTCCCAAGTGGTTGAGCTGGCCAGAAACCAAAAAGGCATCTGATGGGAACCTACCTGCCTGGGTTGTGTCAGACCTTTAATGACCTTTAACCACCCCTATGCAAAACATTCAGTGTTGGTGAATCTATATTCTGCAGCAGAAAACCCATTCTGCCAGAGAAGTCCTGACTAGCTGTAATTTAGCCCATCACTTTTTAATATTGCTGACAGCCTCACTCTATCGAGCCAAGGAGAACTTTTATCGATTACACTTTCAGCGGACAGATGACATTGAGAGCGGGTCATGAGACCAGAACCTCTTCAGCCCATTTGCACTTGCCGTTGTTCCTGTCATTGCATTTTGAATGTAGTAAGGAATCATTTTAAGCATATATATTCAAGAAAAGTTTCTCTTGTTGCTTTTCTAACTTTGCCTTTTATGCCTGCATACAACAATAGATTGCACTGACAAGTTCTTTTTCTATGACTATGTAACAATGAGTAGAAGACAAAGCGGGATGTAGAGAACATTGTTATTTACCTAACGGCTGGAAACTGGGGGAAAGAAATTACAATGCTGTTTAGAGGACATGTTCACATTTTCAACTGTCATTTATTTGCCACTTCATTTTGAGTTAAGGAAATACTTAGTCTTTCTTCACTACTTAAATAGTAGGTGCATGAGTAGACCTCAACGTTGCTTTCCTGTTTAAAACATTATAATGGTTCTCTATGTTTTTTTTACATCACTTTTGTATTGTACTTTATAATGACAGAATTTGTTGCTATTCGCACACTGATATCAATGGGGAATTATTATAGCGTATCTGTGAATACCAGGTGGTCCTCAAAAGATGCATGATTTCTATTCCAGCATCCAATAGAGCAGCAGGGGGCAACTTTTACCGTGGGTGCCGTGGGTGGCGTGGGCAGCTGCTGCATGTGACACCCAGCAGGTTGGGGAGGGGACGGGCAGTGTGGCAGCTGATAGAGCTGGGAGCAGAAAGCAGAGCAATGGATTGCACAGGGAGCACAGGGCAGGAAGCAGAAAGCAGAGCAACAGATTGGGCACAGAGAGCAAAGGGCAGAGTAAAAGATTGGGCAGGGGAAGGGGATCAGAGAAGCACTTGGGGTGAGTTTAGACCTCATTTATGATACGCCTGCCAAAAAGGTTGGCCCCACTGCATTAGAGGCCCTGATCAAAACCCCATTGGCCTAAATGGTGAGCTCTTTGAGCACATGGTTGAGCCCCTGCCTCAAAGACCTCACCATTTCAGTGTACCTGGCAGACAAAAACTTATGCTTCCCATCTCCCAGGTGGGGATTGTGATATGATCACAGAGAGATTGAGGCCAAACCAGGCATTGACCCCACATCCCAAAGACCGTGCCTAAAAGAATGGATTAAGCCACTTCCCTAATGGCCAAGCTCTTGCTCAGAGCTATGACGGGACATCTTAACCTTCATTTATGGCGCTTCTTTTTTCCAGGTCTGGCCTCCCTCTGTTCTTCCAAACTATCTCCATAGTCTAGTTCTTGTCCCTATTCCACAGTTATGTTTCAGGATGGGTCAAAACCATACTTCCACTAGTCTGCATGGTATTATTGGTGATGTCTGCACATCCAAGGCCTCACAAGGACTGAGGGTACAACTATACTATGTTTTCC